GGTCCATTGTTATTTATGCATAGCTGGAGTAATTTTTTCAATATTATTATAAATGCTTTAAAGCAGGGAACAGATCCTGCCAGGTATCTTCAAGCAGTAACTAAACTTATAACCTATGTAATCCCCTTTGAAATATTGCTTTCTCCTTACTTAGAGAAATGGTGTTCTGTGCTGTTATCCAAGTTACCGTGCTTCTTGTGTACTGGTGTGCGTTGAATTTATCGTGGTAGTTAGAAAAGCCTTACTCCAAAACCTGTTTTTCCTTAAAAAAAACCCCAACCATTTATTCATAGTCCTCATAGTTGTGGTGACTTTGAAAATATGAACCAGACAGTGCAAAAAACTGCTGGGGTTTAAAGCTATTTTGAAACAAAAGCCCTAAGAGGTATGAAATACTGCATACTTCTTAAGGGAGTGTTTATTCTGAACTCCTAAAGACAAGTCCAAGGTACATAAAGTAGGGAAAAAAATAAATGTACCACCAAAATAAAAACATATAAAAGAGAAAGTGTCTTATGAGCCATAGCCATGGTTGCTATTCAAAGCAAGTGAGAACAGTAAGCTCACTTTTTACTGACAGCTACTATTCTAAATTTCCAAGCTGATACTGGTCACTCAGGTACCTCTCTTCTAATGGATAAATCAAATAACTTAGCAAAGGGATTTTCAGACAGTAATTTTCTGTTTTTTTCTAAAGTTCATCTGCACTGTAGGATTCCCAAGGCAGGCATTCAGTTTCTGCTAAAAGGCCAGCCACACATGCTTCAAGCAGCATGTAAATCCCAGGTAAGCAATCTGCAGACAGCTCTTTTTCAAGAGCAAATGATGTGAAAAATGGGACCTGTTTTGTTCTGCTTTATTGAAACCAGACATCTCCAAATCAGAGGTATTTAAAACATTTATTAGCATTAATCATTGTAGGTTAAATAAAACACAAAACCTACCTTTTAGGGCAAAAAATATTATTAGGTATGATACAATTAATACGTAAAACAGAAGGTAAAGTATTAACAGATTGCAGCATCCTATACATGAAGCGAGTGGGTCCAGCCCAGTCAAAGCCTTTATATAAACAAAACAGACAAACAGGTGATTTGAAATGGACGATTTCTCACTGACTCTGGTTTAAATAATTACAGGTAGGATAGTAAAACATATCATGATTGTACTGATAAGGTCTGATTATAGGCAGAGTGCTCGCCTGTATACTCTATCTAGTCACGCTTATTACCACGTGCCATGAAGGATTAGTGAAGACAAAGGATGATAGGTAACTTTTCTAGGTATTGATACAGACCCGTGTTATATTGTAGCACTTCAGATAGACCTGCTGTACCATGAACAAAAAATTATTATTTTTTAAATTTTCGGTTTTTTTGGGGAATGTAACTTCAATACTTCTGAGTCAAATTCTTGGATAATAATGACCTTTTTTAGATTCCTCAGTCATCAAGACAAACTTTTTCTACAATATGCCATTTTCATGCATAAGAATGGCAAGTCAACAATTGTACCTATGTGCACCTCCATCTTCTCGCTACCTTCAGTCTGTAGCTTTAAGTTCATAAACGTGAAACGATCATTAACAAAAAAATGTACTTACAGAATACAATGTGCAATATATGAGAACCAGACATAGTGAAAAAACACTACATGTCAGCATAACAATATAAAACTGTACTTATATACACACACATATGCAGAGCATATATGAAAACTAGTTCCTTCAAAATCTTGTTTCTAAACTAGTTCACGACAAGCCAGAGAAGCAAGTCACCGACAACTGGACAGTCACAGTCTTGAGTCACGGTGCAAACAAGCTCCACCAAACATCCTTGGCACTGCAGCCTGTGCTTCAGTCCTGCTGCCAGCTCTCTTAAGAAAACCAATCTTGGACAAATCCAGCACCAGCTGGCCAAACTAAAACTGCAGCGTTATTATTATCATTCTTATTATTAGAGCACCCACAGAGTCAGGTGCTCCTGTACAGTAATTCAGCTTTTCACCAGCTATTAACTACTACAGGAATTCCAGTCACCACTGAAACTTTTCACTGCAAATTTGGGGTTTTTCTGTAGGTAATTTTTCTGGCTGTTTACAAAGGGTGGTGGTACTTTCCAAGCAACACAGGCAACAAAAGGAAGAAGAAATCATGAATTTTACATTTGAAAGTCACCATTTTTAAAACAAACCATTCCCCCATTTGAAGAGGCATGTTAAAGCTGCACTTTAGCTTTGACAAACAGCAGAGGCAACACCATCACCAAAGGTGAGTCCCGTCTTCAAAGAAAATGTAAGCTGCTCTGCACAGCACACTGGCCTGTTATATTTTCACCTGTGACTTCAGAGTTCCCTACTAAAGCTCACCATAACCCAAATCTCAAGAACATATACAATCAGAATCCTTATTCATTTAAATCTTGACTAAAAGCAGAATAAGGTGATTTAGACTTGGCCCACCAAATGAAAAAGTATCTTTGAGTCTACTTAGCCAGCACCTGAATTTTAAAATCTGCCAGAGATCCATTGTAACAACTTCTGATTTTAAACTATTTTAACATCTAACTGACAAACCTGTTCTGATTCACATACAGCTCAGTGGCAGCTGTGAGAGCTGGTTGCTCAGGACAATTTCTATCCAGCCAGATCAGCATCAATTGCCAGTTCTAGCATAAGTTAAGAGTACACAAAGTACTCACAGAATTGTCTTGCAAAACTTTCAGACATATCAAGTAGGGTTTGATGCGTTTTGAGATATCACATTAAAAAAAAAGCCACAAAGATTTATGAAATCTTAACAATCACTTATGTATAACTACTATACATTGAACTAAAATATATGACACCTTTAAAAACATAGGTTTGATCACACCTTGTTTTCTTGGTCTAGACTTTTACTTGGTCTTATTTAGGAAGAACCAGATGCCTTGCAGCATTGGGTCATAGATCCCATAGATTATATGAATCTGTGATGTTGGTAAATTTGATATTTCTCTAATGCTGAAGGACAGGTCAACCTCTCCCTCCACAGCCAGGTGAAAGAGCCAGGAACCCTTGGCAGACTCACTTGTACTAGGATGGGATGAAATGTTTCCTAAAGGAGCCCATCTCCCTCCCCCAACTATCAACAATGATGACTGCCGAATTTTCACTTAAATAACCCTGGATTATCTGTAAAATAGCTGCTGCAATGAAGCACTGATGTGGATCATATATCAGCACAGGTGACAACTGAAAGTTTACCTGAAATACCCTTTCTCATGGTAGCTGTCTGAGACTCTGTATTATCCAAGGGCATATTTTCAAGTATGAGTGCTTTCAAAGGAGTCTAAAATATCTGGGAAATTGATTATATGTGAAAAAAACAATGCCGCTTAGATTCTTAGATAAAATCCAGTGGGGCATTTTCCACCTATAACTACTTCAAGCCCTTGAAGACAAAGAAATGTTCCTGTTGGTTTCATCTGGCTCTGTTTCAAGCCCTAATAATTAGTGCCATTTTATCAAAGCAATCACCCAACCAAGCAGTAAGGTTGGGGTTTTTTATGTATAAAACACAGAAACCCAGCTCTAGTCTGCCTGTTCAAAATTTATTGTGGAAAGTTGTTTTTTCCTATTGTTTGCTTTCTGTAAGTCCCCCAACAAATGTGTGATAAGGTCACTTTTCGTCAAGAGAGCAAATCAATATTGTGGAATGCAGGGTGGGCTTTGGTTTTGAAGCCTCCATTCTTACTCCAGTTCTGCTTTCCAGTGAAATTGAAGATAAATTCGTATTTTTTCATCTCAGTCACACACATTCATAAAAGATGGAGATGGAGAACACATACATTTTTACATTATTTCTAGTTCATAACCTATAAATCTATTGGATTTTTTTTTCTACACTGTACTTTCAAGTGCATCAAGCTTCAAAGGAATCATGCAGTGGGTCTTCCATACCACATCCCCACATGGAAGAGGAGACTCCTCCACAAAGTCACAGAATTGCATTTGTAAAGGAACGCTCTGGTTTGTTTTATTAGATTCCAGCCTTTAACCCCAAATTATATTGTGCTCTCTTAAGCTGTTTTTGTAGAGAAATACTGTTCTTCCAACTTGAAGACTTCTTGGAGTGCTGCAAAGAGACCATGAAGGAGCGGGGCAGCGTGGCACTCTCTTTTAGAAACCAAAGGAAGTGGCGCCTTTGAACAGAGACAATGACGGTCTGAGGCACAGATTTGGAGAAAACCTGGTAAAAGTAATGGAGATTAAGCTGGCATTTATGTTCTTTTTACAATTTCAGTAATTAATGAAGGCTACGCCCTGGAAAGGGAATCAGTCCAGGCAAAGCACAGTGGCTGCATCTTCACTTCTTTCCGGAGCAGACTGGGAACTGCATGGGGTCCAGCAGCCTCCTTCATGACAACTCCTCCTTTCACATCCACAGCACCTCCAAACATGGATTTTGACTTATAGCCCATAAAAACTGTACTTGCTCATCCTTTGGATCCATTTTTTTTTGAGTTAGCAAATTCAGTCCATTTCTTGTTGATTTTTTACTGAAAATGTGAGACAATGCTACAGATTTAGAAAAATACTGAAGCAGAGTCCAGCTAGAAAGATGGCAGAGAAACTATAAGCCTAAATTCAGGTTTTAAGGGTTTTTTCACCCTATTATTACAGAGAAAACTAAAAACATGCCAAGTCCACTTTGCAATGTAAGAAGAGAAGTTTTTGCAGCAAATCTAAAGTTTATACATAAAAGGATCTTTTTATTTTAAAAAAACAGTCATTGGCTTAAACAGAGAACTGGAGTACTTTGACATTGTAATTTTGACAGGATATTAGAGAGGATTTTCCAACTAGGTTTTGCAAAATCCCTTTGAAGTAAAGCTTTCTGCTTCTTGGTCCTTGCATTACTGCTCATGGGAAGTATTGAAATTACTGCTTTTAAGATAAGGAGCCACGTCACTGAGATAATAAAGTTCTTTCTCAGTGAAAAAAAAGCAAATGGTGCTGTTTTTCAAGTAAATCTAAAAAGATCAAGTTGGGTCAGCAGCACCGCCTACCCATCTGTGAAGTCTGCTTTCCAAGTTTGATTGCTCCATTGTTACCGTTTTCATGAGGATCTAAGGGTGGAATTTGCCGACCTGAAACACATGAGGAGACAGTGAATTCAATTTTCCTGATGCAGTAACAACATATGCAGATAACAGTTCGAACAATTTAGCTTGCATATAAATTACATCTGTGAAACTTCACCAGAAACAGCCATCTCCTGTGTACCTCGAATCTTTTTCCTTGCATACTGCTTATGAAAGAGCTTCACATTTAAAAAAACCAAACAGATGAAATATGGTTATTAAGAATGCATGAAGTACACTGAAACAAAGTACACTGAATTTATGTTATCCGTGTATTTTGAAAAAAGTTAATAAGCACCTTACAATTAAGAGAGAGAAAATTCTCAGCTTTCTCCTAATTCCACTTAAATGTGAATAGTGCTCATTTAACGATGTCTTGCCTGTCCTAAATCTGCATGGCATTTAGTCCTTGTACATTAGAGTTCTTCAGAGCACCCTAACTAAACACATGCTGTCTATACTTGGCAAACAAATCTGTTCTTTTCATTGAATGCCTCCCTCCTTTGAGGGGTATACGTCTTTCCAGTTGACAGCTTTGATTACTTAACACGCCCCTCCCCCAACCTCTCCTGACTTTTTAATCATCTTATGAGATGATTATTTTAAGTGTTTGAAAGAATTTCAGCCACCACAGGAGAGCTAGAGATGTCTCTGGAGGCAGAAGGCACTGCTCCAACTCCCTCCCCTGTGTGCCCTTTCAGTACTTCTGCATCTTTTGTCTAACTGGCTTCCTACTCATGGCCAACATACAATGTGCTTAATAATTAGAACTATAAATGGAAAAACAAGGTTCTCTCAGGTCCAATCTAAGCTCTGTCTCTGGTGTGGGCCTGGCTTTTCCATTAAAACACTGTGATCTCTCCATCAGTACCTCAGAGAGCTTACAGTCATGGTAATGTATTATCTCATTACCTTGTGAATTTCCTGGAATTCTTTTTCTGAAGTTGAATCGACTTTTTATGAATTACTCCTGGTTTTACTATTACCAAAATTAAATAGCAAGAGTTAAAATATTTAACATTCGTTTGTTATATGCCATTTTCAGAGAGCATAAACTTCCTGTGAACAGCTCATCATAATCCAGGTGGATTTTACAGCTTAGAATTACCCATCCTTTGGTGCATTTATTCACAGCTCTCTCTCACCAAATGTTCTCTGAATTATGTATGTATGTTGACGCCTAAGTCCTACAAATTACCTGGGGGGAAGCGGGGTTGTGGGAGGACGAGTTAAAAGCATTCAGGTAAAATCCAATCCCAATAAAATAAAACAGTAAAATTTCATCTGTAAAACTTGCCCCTAAATCACCTTTGGTCAAGCTGATCAAAAACTGACCTCTCTTATTCAGTCAGTTATGAACAGGTATGTTATACAACCAAAGTGTGACTTTTGAAGCAGATAATCTTGGGTGTTTGTACAACTGAATGAGAGGGAGAAAATCCCTCACATTACTAAGCTAAAGATACTGTATTACTTACCGTATAAAGATACTGTACAGAGTGAGAAGCAGGTATCTTGAGGGCTGAAGCATATATGAGCACTGACATTACAATGCTGCACTCTATTTAGGTCACTAAAATACCAACCCCACACCCTGCTTACATTATGCTTTGACTTCAGGTCTGTAAGTGCCCTTTCAAAGTAAAATAAAAAGCAGAATGGGTGGTTATAGACACAGTTGCTACATGCATTAGTTCTGCTGGCTTTGTTAGGAAACAAAGAGAACCCACCAATGCTTAAAGCTCTGGAGAATAGGAAGAATGTAATATCTGTGAGATGCTTTCCAAGAAGGTAATGCTGTCGTTGTAGACAACTGGAGAGAACTTCTCCATTAAGTACCTACTGTTTCCAAAGTGCTTCCAACTCAGTCCCAGCTAAAATAAAAACCTGTCTATCTCCCTCAGAGCACAATGTAGCTAAAAATGTTGGAATCTACAGACCCAGTTACCATTACATACCATTAACAAATACTTGCTCAACATTTGGTTCTTCTAACTGTAAGTCTGGAAGAGGACAGTTTGTAAACTAGCTTAACTTTCATTTTAGAAAACCACACTAAACAATTATGTTACCTCTATTTGTTTTTCATTCAGTGTTTCATATTTTTTGTGAGTTTCAGGCAATACTTTTCTGCAATACTCGTGAGGTGTATGCAAAGAACCCGGCAAGCTTATCTTTGGAGCGAGAACACAGCAGGCTTCAAGGTCAGCGAGCACTTTGTCCAGTTCAGCACAGGACACAATATGTATCGCTAAGAATCACCTTGATTTATTTCATTTCTCAAAACAATAAAAACTACACAGATAACAAGTACAAATAATAAAGAGAAAAAAAAAGCTCCAGACATAATATTTGCTGATTACTTATTCTGGCCTTTGAACTTAAGTACTGTTTGTCATTAACTAGCCATGCTTTCTGCTGGTTGGATACCCCCCCTTGAATTTGGTACAAGGAAATATAGCTTTAAACAGTCTAAAAGTTTTTCAAAGTTCAGAGTATTTTTTTTAGTAGGTGAGTTTTCTCTCACTTATTATTTCTCTTATTACCAGACTTACTAAACCATCAAGTTAAAGCATTTTAATTTTAGTAACAAGACTTACCCTTGCCCAAACAGCTTTTACCATCTGATCTGCAGTTGACAGGCATTATTAACTCCCTTGGAGCATAAAACTCAGTCTAACACCTGAGAACCAGCTTCACAGCAAATGATACAGTGATTTTTCATCAAGGGTCAGGTGAAGTGGATAAAAATAATCAGTCAGAAATCTGTTTGATCAATTGTCTCTCCCTGGGCCTCCTTGACAGCTAAGTCTCACCACAGATGCTGTGACAGAGAAAGGTTTCAGCAGCAGCAGAAGAGTAAAGACCAGCAGTGAAATGCTGAGCCTGCACCAATACTTCCTGCTTCTAAACCAGCTCAATCACTGTTGTTACCTAAAAGCACTGCATTCATCGCATCTTGTCGTTCAGCTCTTGATAAATATGGCATCAATATTGCTGACACCAACTCAAATATAGCTGGCACTGAGTCAGGATCAACAGAGGTCATAAACTGAATTACTGTAGAAAGTGTATCTCACTGGCATACATAATCTGTGCCAGAAAAATAAAAGATACCCATGTATTAGACAACCTAGAGCACCGTTAATTTATGCTATTTCTTTCACACAGTTGATGTCACAAAGGATCAGCAGTCCCCTGACAGCCAGCCCAGCAACTCTCCTGCTGAAGAAACAGATTAAGAAAATTCCTCTTCAGACCAAATACTGCTCTGTTAAGACAGAGTCAGCTCAAAAGGTCCAGGAGAGATTGAACTCTTCTGTTGCTTAACTTAAAGATTATGAACTACACAACAAATAAAGTCTTTTCTCCATTTTACAGAGCCAGACACAACTAGCCAGCTTGCCAAAGACCACAGACAGCACATTTTAGGATTCCAGATGAAACGGTCAATCCCACAGAAAAAAACACATACACATACATTTATCTAAGAACTCTGCAGCTGAACTGGGGAAATGAAGAACTTGGGGATATACAACTACTGAGGCAGTACAGAAGTTCCATATGGTTCCCATTGCTGATATTTCTATGGCATGAGGTTCACTGACTGCAATTTAAAAATTAGATTTTACACTTGTATTTAATTAAATATCTGATTATATATATATTGTTTTCATTTCACTAATGCTTTATGCAACAAAACTTTGTAAACATGCACCTCTACACATTCTTGCAGGGGTCCTGGTGTCCTCCATGATCTCATTCCAGCAAACACACCATGGCGTGTAGAACAATGTCACAAGAGACTGCTCAAATGTAGGGTTACAGAAACTCTCATGGTTCTGAAGTGAACCATCCAGGTTAACAGGTGGGAAGCACTAAATCAATTGTATCTCCTCCTTCCTGGCACATTTGAGCTGGGCTGAGGCAGTCCAGGATGGAGGTCAGAGTCTTCTCCAATGCCTGGTGGAGTTCCAGACTCCTGCTACTGAATCTGAGACTTAATGTAAAGAGATTAATCGGCACACTGGGAGTTGCTGTTCGGAGAGTGCCAGAGGCAAAGAGATTGGGAAATGGGAGGGTGGGACAAGAGGTAAACAAAATGGGAAGGGAGGAAAATTAGAACTGGAGCAGGAAAGCAAGAGAGACAACAGGGACTGGGTGACAGCTCTGTGAGGAGAACCTGAAGGCAGGCAGCTGGGGATTGCTCTGCTGCAGTTGGAAGCACGATGCATCATCACAGTAATAATAAAATCTGCTCTCTTTGTTCCTTTCTGAATGGGATGCTCCAGCTATAAGCTGTGACATCAGGCTTGGAGTTGGGCTTTTTGGGTTGGTTTGTTTGGTTTTTTTAATATGAAACTAGTTTCATCACTGACCTATACAAGACTGTGTGAAAGGCTGGAAACCTGGAAGTTGAATGTAAGGAAAAAAAACCCCAACTGGTTACCATGCTGAAGGGACAAACACAACAGTGCACTGAACAGATACTCATTTAGTGTGTAGGGGAAAGGAAAATGGATGTGATCAACCTGAGCTGGCACATCCGGATGATGAAGGCCAAGTCCAAAAGATGCCCAGTTCTACTGTCTAACACAACTACAATTCTGCTATGGCCGAGAGGCAAGACACCACAGTGCTTCATGGTGGTTTTCTGTGTGTTTCTCCCACCTGTCCTCTTTCTGAAAATTGTGTACAACTTCATTTTTAGGAGGCTGGAGAAAGAGGATATTTTTATTACTATAGGATGCAAAATCCATTTCACCCTGCTCCAGAGCAGCAGCCTGAGAGCCACCATAGCATCCTGATGACATGACTGCCGTGGCTCACCTAAGAAAAGCTAAACTTCTTCAAGCAGCAGTACAACATTTACACAATGGCCAGAATGTCCTAAAATTGCTAGCCGTATCACAGCACAGTGAGTCCCTACAAAGTACTGCTCTCTATAAACCTCATTACTAAAGCATGGCCACCAGCGAAGGCATGGCAGAATGAAGACTTTCTGC